AAAGGAAAAGTCATCATGGAAGACTGGATGAGGAGGAGAGGCTGGGTGAGTGAAAAATGATGAATGAGGAAGAGAGTTCGGTGAGTAGAGAGTGAACAGACGGCGGATGGGTAGGAGAGGCTCGGGTGAATAGGAAAGGGTGGATGGATAAGGGAGGATATATAATGATAATAAGAATAGGAGCATTAAGAGGATAGTTGCATGAATTGCATTTTTCTATATTGTAGAATTATTCATTTTCGTCCACGCACAGATTTCGTCCGTACTTTTTTAACGTTAATCACATTCGTTAAATATGTAAGTACACCTAATTACAACAGGTTGATCTTACAACGTATGTGTGGAGGGTTGGGTAGTCTATATAAATCCAGTCTATTAGAGGGGAGTCAGATAGATAGATAGATAGTTACTTCAAGAAATCTATGTACACTTACACGCAAACACACTCACTCAGTCATTCATTCGTCCATCCACTCACTCACTCACTCCTTCCTTCCTTCCTTCATTCGTCCATTCATTTTCTTACTCACTCATTCAATTATTCATTCATTCGTCCATTCACTCACTTACTCACTAACCCACCCACTCAAACCCACACATCCACCCACACACTCACCCACCCCCACACACACACTCACTCACCCACACTCACATCCACCCACCCACGAACCCACCCACACTAACACAAGCGCCAGGTGAGTGAAGACATTTTCCATTCCATTTTAAAACAGCAGCAGTTCTGTTTCTGTTTCCCGATGCCAAGGGAGCCCGAGCTGGCATTTTTATAAAGAGAGACAAAGGAACAGCGGGGATTTAAAGAGGGGGGGGGGGGGAGGGGATTGGCAGCAAGTCTGATTGGATAAGGATTAGGGATTTGAAAGATTAGAGACGGGATAGGAGGATGCGAGTTGTGAGGATAGATGTGGTAGATAGAGAGAGGAGGGAGGGGGAAAGAAGGAAGGAAGGAAGGGAGGGATGGAGGGTAGGAGGAATGGAGGAAAAGAGGGAAGGAGAGAAGAAGGGAGAGAGAGAGAGAAAAAGAGAGAGAGAGAGAGAGAGAGAGAGAGAGAGAGAGAGAGAGAGAGAGAGAGAGAGAGAGAGAGAGAGAGAGAGAGAGAGAGAGAGAGAGAGAGAGAGAGAGAGAGAGAGAGAGAGAGAGAGAGAGAGAGAGAGAGAGAGAGAGAGAGAGAGAGAGAGAGAGAGAGAGAGAGAGAGAGAGAGAGAGAGAGAGAGAGAGAGAGAGAGAGAGAGAGAGAGAGAGAGAGAGAGAGAGAGAGAGAGAGAGAGAGAGAGAGAGAGAGAGAGAGAGAGAGAGAGAGAGAGAGAGAGAGAGAGAGAGAGAGAGAGAGAGAGAGAGAGAGAGAGAGAGAGAGAGAGAGAGAGAGAGAGAGAGAGAGAGAGAGAGAGAGAGAGAGAGAGAGAGAGAGAGAGAGAGAGAGAGAGAGAGAGAGAGAGAGAGAGAGAGAGAGAGAGAGAGAGAGAGAGAGAGAGAGAGAGAGAGAGAGAGAGAGAGTGAGAGAGAAAGAGAGAGACAGATTGGACAACTCAGACAGGAAATCAAACAAACCAGACAGACATTCAGACAAAAAAACAAACCATCCAAACCAAACCAAACCAAATCAAACACACAAACAAAACAAAAGACACAAACCAACACAAACCAACCGAACAGACGCCTCCCACCCCCTTCCCCCTTCCCCCCCTCGAAAACAGAAGCAGGAGGAGAGAAAGTGTGCGCGGGCGGGGAGGCAGAAAGCATGAAATATTGATCCAAGCTGTCACGTGTTGCTAATGCCGGGGAAGTGGATGTCGGGAGTCGGGACTTTTTCCTCTGTTTTTTAGCTTAAATTTCCAGAATTTGAATAATGATGAAAAGGAGCGTTGAAGGGAAGACGGGCAAGGTGGAGGGGAGGGCGGGGAGAAGAATGTTTGTGTGTGTACTGTGTAAGATGTTCTGTGTACATGCCTATACATCCATATATACATACATACATGCATGCATATATTGTAAGAACCCAAGAAAATATATATGGATAATTCGAATCTCGAACCGTTTTATTAACTTTAAGATACTGGTAATAATGATGGTGATGAAAGCAGTAACAAAAATGATGATCATTGCACTAAAGGCAACGACTGTATGCAGTTATATGGTAGTTTTGGTATCAGTGGCAATCCAACTTTAATGACAGCAGTCATAATTGTGATGTCAGTATAATGTTCCCATAAGTAGTATTACCCTTATTATCATTGTATTATGTGCATATATATATATATATATATATATATATATATATATATATATATATATATATATATATATATATATATATATATATATATATATATATATATATATATATATATATATATATATATATATATATATATATATATATATATAAGAAATTGATGGTGATGACAATATTTCATCACATGACAGCCATATTATGATATCCATACAGACGTAGCCTAAAAAGTCTGTAATCTTTCATTAAAT